GCATTTTGGAGTCTCGTATAGGGAATTGATTGTAATTGCGGTGTATCGGTCTTGGTGAAAACACAAATAACATTCTGCCAGATGACAAACTGTCCACAATCTTGTCTTCGCTATTCAAAACGCATCCCATCCGTTCCAATCATTCACAGTCCCCTCTGACACTCAGATGGGAGGAGGGTGGGTATTAAATAATGACTGTATTTAAAGGCCACAATAATACATTCTCTGCCCGCCAGCCGAAGATTTGCTGGGCTGTTATTTCCCCACTCGGTTTTCATGGGCATGCGTTTCCCCCATTCAGGCAAAATCACCACTTCCACTCTCAGCTGTCCTGATTGCATGAAGAAGAGTCTGATTGCATTATTCATCTGCAGGGTTCATAAAAGATTTAAAAAACTCTTGAAGACCTAAAGCTTTTGATGAAATTATGTTTCAATAGAGGGTGGGGAAAAAAACACCAACCCAGTTAACTGGTTTCGTTTCATCCCATAACTACCTCAGCAGCTGCAGATGGGGTGGCTGGGCCTGAATGGGAGGAGGTGCGTGTTTTTTTTTCATGAAGCAGGCTGTTGCAGATATAGCTATTGTGCTGCTGCTTTTGCTTTGTTCTCCCCTCTGGCCAGGGCCCCACTAGGACACCAGCAACTCCAAAATCTTTCTTACAACGAAATCCAATGGCAGGAGTAGCTAATTTCCAAGGTTATGCTGCCACCTGTCAACAGAAAGGCAGAATGCCGCCTTGTCCCAAATCGCTCCTTCCTTCTTGCCATTCTTTCCTAGGGCACCGTGAAATCTGAATTTAAGTGACATCAAAAGAAAACTTGGGGTTTTATCTTATTCAGATGGCTTGATGAAGACTTTTGATGCATTTGGCCTATGGCAGTGTTTATCACCTGAGCCCCTATCACCCCCTCTAGTTCTAAATTGAAAATGTCACATTCTTCATATTTCCTTTTGAACTACATATGGACGCAACCTAAAACTGCTCTCAATCCCCCAACCCCATCACCTTTAGGTGCTCCAAAATTGAAACCAATCTGCACATGCCTCTTGATTTCATGCATCCAGGTTGTAGCCATATGGGTCTAGAGGCAGAAGGAATCCAAACTCGTGGAAGCGGTGATATCTTTTTATTAGGCCAACTAGATATTTGCAACCAGCTTATTTTATTTGCAAACTTTTGGGCGCGCACACACGCTTCATCAGGCATCGGATAGAGCAGAGATTGTAAAAGTAGAATGCAAATTTGTATTTCACATATTTCTACTCTTCTGTGAAATATGAAACATCATAACGTGAAGGACATATACTTCTACATCCTGCTTGCCACCAGACGACTTCAAGGTCAAAAGACTTTTTCAACCTTTCTCTGTGCCTAACTTGGACAAAATGAACTATTCCAAACAGGAGACTTTCCCACACCTTCAGCTTTCCTGCAAAATATGATTTTTCATCTCTGCCTAGGAGAACCTTTACAATCTCTGCTCTCTCCTATGCCTGACGAAGGGTGTGTGTGTCCAAAAGCTTGCAAATAAATGAAATAAATTGTTTGCAAATACCTAGTTGGTCTAATAAAAGATGTCACTTCTTCCACAAGTTTTGATTCCTCCTGTCTTCATGTTCTTCCTCTGATTTTCCTAAATGCTGAAGCTGAAATCAGGGCCCCATTGTGCAAGGTGCTGTACAAAGTGCCCCGAGAGGCTGCACTTGTCCCAAGGATAAGTAGATAAGCTGAACAAGGAGTAGAAGAAAGGAAGAATTAATATCCTCATTTTTAGAGGGGTATCTAAGGCTCAGAAAGCTCAAGTGATTCAAATTCATATGTAAAAAGCTGTGTAAGAGCCAGCAATTGAACCAAGCTCTCTTAAAACCTAATCTGATTGCTTAACTACAAAATGATCATTTCTGTCGGTCATAAGAATATTAATAATACAATATCAGAATCTATGGAAGAAGAACTGCTTGAAAAGTTTTCAGTGGAGGATTTACTAGTTCATAAAGCTCACAGCAGCATAGAAAGTTACTAAGACAAATGCTTGATTCACAACCTGTAATATAATTACTTCCTGTTATGGGGGAGTTTGGATCCAGGTCCTGTTTTTACATTGCTACCTGTCCTTTCTTTCTCCTCCCAATGACCTCACTGTGCTGAGAGTTGATCGTGACATCATAATGACATCACAAAAGCATTAGGTGCGTTAGAACATTGTAGCTGAGCAGTGGAGGAAGTCGAGGAAGAAAAAGAAGGAAAAGGCAAATGCCTTATAAACATTTGAATGGGCCCGAGACCAGCTCTACACAGAATGTCCGGCTGCCGTTTATCATATCCTCTCTGTCAGTTTTTGTGGGAGGCCTGGTGGTCATAATAGCTGCCAGGATAGCCAAAAAAGCATACATTTTCATCTCGGAATATACTCGAAGGAGAAAGGTAATACCAAGTGTTCTTGAAGAAGCTTACACTTAAGTGCTAAATGGGGAAAATGGAAATCTTGAAAGTTTGCAGCCTTTTAAAATTTGGCTTCAGAAGAACAAAGACTACTTGTAATTATGCTCTGAACAAGAAAGTCTGTCTCTGACTAGATCCTTTGCTGTACTGTGCTGAGCACAGCGTGTGTTCAGAGAATATATATTGTGTATTGTGAGGGAGGGTATTGTGTTTGGGATTGCTGTCAAATCACGCGTGAGGAGGTGGAGGGTGATTTTTGTCAACGTATGTTTCAAGGCACAAAATATATTGAAGTTTGCCCTCCTACACAGTAAAGAATGTTCGCATACAGACAATGAGAATGCCCCCACACACGCACACATCCAAATACCCACAAACATACTCATGCACAGGATGTATTCCCCTTTTCATGAATATATACAATTATCCATACACATGCACATTCACATTTACACTCGCATGCTTAAACCCAAACTCAATATGATGGGCATGTATCCAGTACATGCAAACACGCCTATAATGTCTGTCTCCCATACAAATATATAAACACCAGGTCAGATTTTCAAAGGAGCTCGGGGCAACTAAGTGTGTCATTCTGAGTACATTTCAGCTCTTAAGTTTTTTAGGCTCCTTTAGGAAACCTTCATCTTGCACACACAGACACAGTTGCTCATTATTCACACAGTCACTCAAAATTCATTAACATTATGATGCTTGAAAAGCTTTTTGTTCATATTACACACCCAGGTTGCTTAATGACCTGATACCAAAAGAATTCAAATGTCTCCAGGTCGTCTTTCTTAAATCATATCAAGCTCCTTCCCACTGCTGTGGCATGCCACATCCTCCCATCACTTGCAGGAGAGGGTTTGACGTTATCACCCACTCACCTGGGTTGCGTAGGTGGAAAATGAGGGGAACACCTGTGCTGCTGGCAACCTTGTAGGCATCTCTGTTTGCCAAAGAATTAAATTAATTTCTGATCATCTGGCATCTTTTTGGCTGCTGGAGCAGAGATGGGGTTTGGTTCCTTTTTGTTGGCTCACTAGGTGCCAGTAGCACTTGGGGAAACTTGGAGAAGAGAAGACATAGGGCTTGGTTTGATGTATGATGTAAAGTACAGAGATCTGAACTGCCAGAAGTGGATAAAAAAGGAAGGAAAATTCATGGACAATCCAGTCTAAAATGCAGGTGTCTGAATATTGTGTTTGGCAAGGGAAGGTGCTTACAGATCTCTACCCACAGGATAAACCTTCATTATTTGCTTTAGTGGTTAATAGCTGTATCCACAGGACAAGAAGGGTACAAACTGATGTTGCCAGGACATTTCTCATCCCACTGCTGGGACGCTGGGTTCACATATACAAGGGGAAAAGAGAGGTGAATTCTTTGTCCATCTTCAGACAAAGCCTGAGAAGTGGCATGTCCCAGGACACGCATGAGAGTATAGCTTAGAGATGGCCCAGAGGCCACAGGCAGGATCCATTCCTGCTGTGAGTGGGAGCAGCATCCAAACAGGAGTCCTGCAACTTCACTCCAGATGCATTTAGCTCTCAGCATTTTTCTTCAGCCTAATGAGGCTGTTACATCAGGGTTGTTGGAATAAAATATTCATGAGAGGCTAGAATTCGCCCTTTCTGTGTCAGACAGTTGCTCCAGCTAGTCCTGTGTCCTACCTCCAGGTAACCCTTACATGATGCCTTAGAGGAAGGCAAACAAAGCCACTAAGAAACATAAAGGATCTGATCAGATTCACGGTACTTTACATGAGGATAAAATGGCCTCTCTCTTCCTGGGAGACAACCATCTGATGCCTGGGATTGTGAAGTTTGTTTATCCCAGCATCACTGATTTAACTTGCACAGTTCTTGCAGGTTATTAATGATGACAAAGCTTTGTGGCCTCTGTAGGAAAAAATCCCTTTTCTGTTTTCACTTTGGGTTGCTGTCACATGTGTATACATGGGTGTGTGTGTGCAGACGTTGTACTAAAATTGTTTGTATTTGTGGGTGCCTGCTTCTGTGCTTACGTACATACATACAATTATGGGTATTTGTTAGATTATGCATGTTTGTGTATACATATGCACATTTGTGTACACCATGTGTGCGCATACCTGTGAATATTGGGGTGTGTGCCTACACTTACACACTGTAAGCTTGTCTGTGTGTACTTGTGGGTTTGTATCTGTGTTTGTTTTTTGTGAAATCTTTTTTTTTTCATCAGACTTCAAACACCTATTAAGAAAGTCCATTGTAACATTGTGGTTTCTACATGGCAGAGCAAAATGTGGTGGTAATGTGTGAGCAAGTGCATGTAAAATCTGCATCTAGACCGTTCCGGTATGGTAAAGCTCAACGTGGTTCCTGCCACGTCAGTTGAGGGAAGTTTCCCTTTTGCCTCGCTCATGAGACCTGCGGCCTATGGACCAAACTGGCTCTCTGTTTTGTGTCTCTGTGCTAATGTGGTGGGTATGTGGCTTTAAAAGTCCTGTGAAGCAGTGCAACCTCAAGCAGGTCTAGGATCCCAATCTATTTGCATCTGTTCTAGGGAAAGAACAAAAAAGATGCTCACCAGCTGTACCGAAAGAAACCAAGTTCAATCCTCTGGAAAGGAGCTTTCCATGAGAGGGTGCAGATGATGCTATCCGCTCAAACATTTGTGGGGAGAGTTCTGGTAAGTGGATTGCTTGACACCAAGCTTCCTACCCCACAGGGCAGGATGAGGCATAGCTATCCAAGGACCCCTTAGCTTGGGGGTGGTGGGCAAAATGCCGCCTAGGGTCCAGATGCGGTACGCCAGGCCATTCTGTCTGACCCACGGGGCCCCTAAAAAAATTTAGAAAATGTATTTATCTGCCCCTGGCTGCCTATCATGTGGCCCTTGATGGCTTGCCAAAACTCAGTAAGCGACCCTCTGCCCAAAATAATTGCTCACCCCTGCCATAGCTGGTCTTTTGAGGTTCTCACAGGCAAATCAAAACCCAAGCTTTGTGCACAGAGCTAAAGCAGCATCACTTTTGCAACACAATTCACAGAGTTTTTCTCCAACCACCTGGTAATACAGACTAGCCTGGGAGGAAGATGTGGAGCCTCCATATGCAGAGGGAGTGTAAAATGAAATGGCAGAAATGCATAAATGGGTGCTTATCTTGCTGGGATCCTTTGACCCTAGCTGACTTCCTGCCCCTGGTGATCTTCGAGGTCCCTTCCAGCCCTAATGTCTATGAAATCTATGATAAACCCTGCTCCCTCCATATCTGGGTGGAGTCACAGGTTAGAAAGGCACAGTCTTTTGCGGATAATCAGAGGGACTCGATCCCCAGAGCTTGTTTGGTGCTTAACACTCAACTGAAATTGCCAGCAGTGGAGTCGTTCATGATGGCAATTCTCTTCCTTCCTTCCTCGAATCTCTCCTCCAAGTCGCAAACAAATAACATATGCAGGACACCTAAGTGTGCTTTTGGCTCTAAGCTAGTATTGAACAGGCAAGCAGACCTTCGTGACAGTCTCCTCCTTAACATGTCTTTTAGGTGATACTGGTGTTCCTAATGAGCATTGGATCCCTCATTATCTACATTATCAACTGTGCCTCGTAAGTGGAATGCAGATGTTTTTATCCAAAGCGTTCTTTGCTTCCTCTTGCACAGGAAGAAGTTGGGGGGGAAATGCAAACAATTCAAAGTCAATTTTAGATGCGTCTTTCCAGTTTCATGTACAACAACGTTTTACTGTTTAGCTTGCAAAATCCAGCTGTGTTCATTCTGCTGCTTAGGTCAGCCATAGCAATAGAGGATATGGCTGATTATTTTATTGATGATGCAGTCAGCAGAATTGGTTCCTGCACAGATTCGTTTGGAATATCTAAGAAATGTCAGTCCCTGTGTGCTTCCACAAAAAACAAGTTAACATTTTAGGAAAGAAGAGTCTGTTTTTACGTGTAGCTCCTGCTTGGAGGAAAGTCATAATAAATAGGAAATTTTGGTGGTCTCTCATGGTATGCTCTGGCATAGAAAAGTAGGCAGCAATTGCTATCCTGTTTGATATACACTATTGAAAATGAACAGTGACAAGATGGTTTGAGCTAACAATGCCCAACATAAGGCAGTAATTTCATTTCTTTTCATAGTGTGCCTGTAATTACATAGTTGTTACACTGTAGTTGTTCCACTGCAACTGTTACAGTTTTTGCTTTATGTTGCCTTTAGCCAAGGGAAGCAGAAAGTTAACATTTAATATAGTTAACACTTCCTAACTCTTTTGATTTCATGGGTACTGCACAGAGTTTTATATTTAAGGAACATTGTATTTACACTGCAATCACTCACTCATTTAGTTAACCTTCCAGTTATTTAAATTTAGTAATAATTACAGACATTAAAAGCAGAACTTCGGTGTAATTACACTATAATTGCAATATAACTACATTTACTGATTATATAGTGTAATGGAAAAAGAAAACATCCCCAGTGCTTTCTTCTGCTGTACTTATTCAAGTTTCCTTAAACTTTATTTCTTTTCCTTTTCTGGTCGTGGATTTAGATTCACAAGTGCTCAGCAGCAAAATGAGGACCAAACTTGAAAAGTGCGTTTTGGCACTTAAATGTGAACTGGTGGCTGACCCGGCAGCTCCCACTGTGACATTTATATAGTTAAATTTTTAATGGAGCTCAGCACCTGCTGTACGCCCAGCCACTGAGCTTTCTTTAAATCTGGCCACCTATTCTTGGTGGGAATTAAGGTCTTTTGGAACACCTAGCCCTTGGTAAACAACTTGACTGAAATAAAATAACTAGACTGAGTACTAAAGCATGGCATGGCCCCTATCAATCTGCACTTGAATGCATATATTTTAGAGGAAGTGCCCAGGGGTAAAAAGATATTAATATGTAAAACCTTTTGATCGATTTAATATGCCACGGCATTGTTTCTCAGCATTTTATTTTGACTGGTGCATAACATCAGAAAAATAAAATGGAATGTTAAAACAAAATAAATAAAATATAAAAGCCCTGGAACAATCTGAAGTGAATTCAATCAGCAGGGGCAAACCTCAGAAGCAGAATTATACATCAAGTGCAATCCGATATTGTGTTTAATCCCAAGACATTAGAAAGCTGCCAAACAGCTCAGAGTAGCTTCAGAGGGAAAAGAGTTTCTTTTCAAGGCATAAACAAGCAGTTAAGATTATTTATGTACTCTTCACTCCATGAATAGCATTACACCCTCCGGGTTAAACTCGGTGTTTATGCTGTTTGACTTAGAGGGCAAGATTAGCTGGCCAGATCTCTCCACCCAAAAATTCCCCGACCATGGGGGAGGCTTCATTTGGCTTTCAGATGCATGGCCAGCTCCTACATCGCCCCTCGCTGCCAGCCAGATCCAGGTAGCATGCCAGTGATTGGGGTGTGAGAATTTAGCCTTTAATTTAATGCCCCACTGAAGTCTTGCCATTCTTTTCAGCGCAGCCAAGGTTTCACCCTGTTTGATTAAATACTGTGTATGAAATTGTCATTTTCAATTAATTTAAACGACATGTAAAGGGATCTGAATCTTGTAACTAACTCAGCAATGTTAATGGAAATGTGATATTGTTTATACACCCTCACTCTCTGAGTAAGCAGAGATTTAAGTTGCTTGATAAAATGCAGTCCTTTACCCATATTGTGGGGGAAATTTCACATCCAAAATAAAACCTGATCCACTAAAGCTCTTAGGTGTTTATCTAGTAGCTGTAATGGGTTTTGGATCAGGGCCTAAATGTTTAAAGCACCCTGGGAGTTTGTGCAAATAACAGTGACCTTTCCTCCCTTAGACCTATAGAATACTTCAGCTCGTTCCCAGATGAAACCCTTCCTGTAGATATGGGCTTCAACACCTTCTTCCTCTTCTATTTTGGATTACGGGTAAGGGCACTGTGCATTAAAGGTCAGTTGTAATAATCAGCCCGAATGCTGCATATTTCCACCTAGTTTTGTACCGTCAACACCTTCAAATTATTTTGCAGGTCTCATCAGGAATCACATGTTCCCCTGCACTAGTCCTCAAAACATTAAATCAATTAGCTAGATTTCCCTTCTTTTCTCCCTTGCATGGAGTGGATCACAGTGTACCATCTGTTGAAATACTGTTAACTGCATTGATGCGAATTGTCTTTTCATCTTACATTTTGACACTGGAATTTTGTCCAAGTCTATAGAAAGGGAGATTTTCCTTATGACGTATTTGGGTTGCGATTGCCAGCCTCTGGATTTTCTAGTCCGTTGTCTTCTGGGATGTGGTACCGTAGTTGTGGCTGCCTTAAAAAAAATAAAAGATCGTGCAGGGAGACATGCAGATAAATGAGAATGAAGAGAAAAAGAGGGAGACATCAGTACTACACCTGTGAGACAATGGACCAAATTCCCCCTTCTTGTAACTACATTCTCCACTGAAGTCGGCGCAGTTCAGCTAATTGTCACAAAGTGCATTACTTCGAAAGAAAACAAATCATTAAATGAGTACCCACAAGAGCAAAGGTTGGGCTGGGTGCTAGAGTGGTGGCTTCTGGGACATGAATTTGACACCCACTCTGGGCGTGTGCTGAAGTCCACTTCCAAGCTGTAAATGGGCACATGGTCATTCAGGCAGGGAAGTCAAAGGCATTGCTAGCCCCCTTATTCCCTGGTACATCATTCATTAGCTATCAAGAGCGGTGTGCCTTGGCTACACTAGCTTGACACAGGCTCTTTGACACTAGTGGGTCTCTGACTCAGAGAGGGAGTTCATAAAAAGGGCTGCTCTCTGCTTGCTGACCAGACTCCTCCTTTCTGCTCTGATATGACCCACTTTTATGCCATTCTCATGCTGTCTGGTTTTCTATATTGCCGTAGTTCTTGGCAGCTGACGACAAGCTGAAATTCTGGCTGGAGCTGAACTCCATTGTGGATTTCTTCACTATTCCTCCAGTCTGTGCCTCCTATTATTTGAAGAGGAACTGGCTTGGTAAGTTTGAAAGCAGAATATAGTTTCCCATCACATTTATTTCATTTCTTATTTCAAAGCCTCTTATGTTTTCCTGTAGAGAGATGGAGGTTTTGTCCTCCATCTTGACTTCTCCTCTTTTGTGAGTGGGATCAGAACTAGGCCTGGTTGGAAAAAAATTCCCCACCTTGTCAGAGATTTGGATCAAGGCCTGTACAACTCCTCCTTCCACCCCACTCTATCGATCTGCTTAACTTTTAATACTGTGCTTCACTGAGCATCTGAGCAGCTATATGAAATGTTACTTACTTGAGGAGTTCAGTGAGGAGAACACAGTGCTTCCAGTAAGAGTGCTTCTGTACCATCTGGGGTTAAGTCTATATGGCCTGGGTGTCACTTGAGCTTCATTTAGGCATTCAAGATAGACCTTAAGGAACCTAATTCCTTATTTTTTTTCATCACACAAGCCTCTTCTGAGGCCTTAAGTGGAACTCAAGAGACGAGTATGTTTGTGAGTAGCAGTGAATTTCACCGTCTGTAGCCAGTTGGATATGGCATCCGCTATAGATGGAAATAGAAGTGCGCGCATGCACAAGATCTTGTTGTTAGACGGGTCCTTCCTCTGATTTCTTCATTTTTTCGTCCTATAGGTTTTCGATTTTTGCGAGCGCTCAGGTTGCTAGAACTTCCCAAAATATTGCAGTTTCTGAAAATCACCAAGACCAGGTAAGCCAAAGTTCAGTCGCATGTCATCTACTCCCAGTTCCTATATTTTGGCTGGCTTAGCAGTTGGACCAAAATCATGAATGACAGCTCACCAAGTGGGAGTCTTTCCCCGTGAGTGTTTCGTTTTTGTTTGGTGGGTACAAGTGCCTGGGTGGACATCCAGGCCTGTGTCTTGGTTCATTAAACCTTCTGAGGCTGAATCATCACTCATTCACCATGCTGCCGGTTTTCTAAAACACTGTATAGTTATTGAGCACAGTGCTGCTGATGCATCAGGCCTATAGAGCGAATGGTACCCAAATACAAATAATGGTACAAATAATTTTGTAGCAGTACAGTTTGGCTTGTTTGGGAAATTATTTTATAATATTATCTGGGAAATGGCCAGTTACTGGGACCTTTCCTCCCCTACTACACACAAAGCAACTCTCACTAGTATCAGCAAGAGGGAACTGTGCATTTACAAAAAATCAGAGCCTCAACGAATAAGCAGCCGGGACACCCATTAAATGATAGGGAAGATGGATTATGAACAGAGAGCCTGATTCTGCACTGTTACAGTCAATGGGAGCTTTGTGATTGTCACAGGTGTATGCAAGAATGGTTACACCATGCATCGAATGAGACTGCCAGCTCCTTGGAGAAAGCACTATGTCTCATTTACTGTTTCTTGTAATAGTTAGAGATTGGCCAGTACCAAAGATCTGGATCCGAAAGCCCCCAGATCTTGGAAGAGTGCTGATGCAGGTCTCAGTGGGCGTGTTTGCACATCAAATTAATTCAACTGAATAAACTCCGGTACAGTTTGTGAGGGAGTTTTTCTCCCGGGTGCAGTGTTTACATGTGCACCCGGGACTGCAGCACGTTGAGTGGGGGTGGCACAGCCTGGGCTGGCAGGGGGTTTCGGGGGTCAGCTTGCTGGTCGGGGGCTGCTCCCCCTGGCTCAATGTGCTAAGGAGGGGCTGGCTGGGACACAAGGGTGCTTCAGTGCAGGACGAACCAGCTGCATCAGCATCTACACTTGTGTTGCAGCACAGTAAATAACTCCACCGTAGGCTAGTATTTGTGTTTGGCAGTATTATCCTAATTTACTCCATCCTATTAGCACTACACGCCTAAACAGTGACGTTTTACTGTGGAGCTAATTAGTCAACTCCACAGCAAACATCTCGTGTAGATGTGCCCAGTGTGATTTTTGAGCATTGCATCTGCCACTGCGACTCCATCATCAGCTGAACCAAAGACCTGGGTCTCAGTTGGTCAAACTTCAGAAAAATGTAGGTTCTGCTCCATATCTTAATGATATTGCTTTGACCCATCTCATAACAAGGGCCAATAAGTGAATTCTATATAGGCATAAACAGGCCATCAGTCAATTTAGGCTGGAAATTCAAACGCTTTTAGCTGTCAGAGGAGTGAGATTTTTGGAACAGCTGCCTAGTCAGAGTACTGGAGGCAAGAAACTTGATTGGTTTGAGGATGGAGGTGGATCAGTTTATGGATGGGATTATGTGACAGATGCCTATGGGCTCCTATTAATGTGCAGAGAGGCTGTTCTGATGTGCTCTAATTACACCGTGTTGGAGAAGACTAATCAAGTCTGCTGGAGCACGGTAATTACCACACTAGCAGACTAGCATCATGTGTATCAGCATTGCCATGCTGAAAAATGATGGCGGGGACGCTTTAACTAAAGCTGGTTCGATGGACCTTAGTTAAAGTGTCCCCACTGCTATTTTTCAGTGCGGGGATGCTGATGTACACAATGGTCCAGGCGCTTTAATTAGTGTGACTCTTGGAGCCTTGCTAATTTAAAGCATGTCCCCCCCCACCGCCACCTACCAGAGTATGTCTATAAACACCCTATGATAGCAGGAGGCTGGGCTCAGTGACCTATGAAGTCCCTTAAAGTCCTACACAGTATGTTTCTGTGTCATACTACGCCTGATAGGACAGTATTTTGACTTGAATAAGTGAATTCAGGGTCATGCAGGAAGCTGTAATTTTCACATAGCTCATTCTCATACATGTTTTTTCCCCTCCTATCCCCAGTAATTCAATCAAGCTGGTCAAACTGTTAGCTGTATTTCTCAGCACCTGGCTTACATCTGCAGGGTTTATTCACCTGGTACGTACAATCAGCTACACATTTTCTAGGGACCACAAGTCAGTACTAAGACAGATGCTTTGAGGGTACATTTAGCAGCCTTTCACTTGGGAAAGGTAGGAAGGGAGTACTGTTTAAGTACAAAGCTTGCTATAAATTTGCCTTAAGTGAAAAATGGGACAAAAGGGGGAAGGTATCTTCTCTTAGCTGTACCAGCCCCAAGGAAAATGTATGCAGGTTCAAAAATTAATGGAGCAGGGCATAGGCTATCTAAGGCTCAGAGCTTATTTATAGTCAGGATATTGTCACATCTGCATTATTGTAGCAACATCATCTTAAGTGCCTGATATAGATGTACTGCACCTGGGAAGTGGCATTTACACTGGTCCAACTTAACTGGCATATGTTACCAGACTAAAATGTACCGGTATAAGCTCCATTTTAAATTGGTGTTGCATAGGGTCGTTTGTGTTTTACACCAGGTTAGCTACATTGATGTAGCTACAATTATGCTTATTTATTATACATAAATCTGGCTTTAGACAATAACTTCTGGCAAAGAGGCTTCACACCCTTGTTCAGGTAACAGAAGGAGGTGGTTGAGAATCCGGCTATATATTTGTGAGTTGGAACATGGCACCTGACAAATCCTGTAGCTAGTTTGTCAGCAGTGAAGCAGTACTGTAACTCCTGGGCAATAAGCAGCAGGTCCATTACCAAAAGTATGACTGTTTCATCCCTGAGGAAACCAAAGTTGCATGGGATCAGCAACAGAACTGTTACTCCACCAGAACTTTCCAAGATGCACCCTTTCATGCTGGGCCTAATTAATGTATTATTAATCTAATTAATAATTATTAAGGACAGATGACCTTATCTGAATCCTCCCTACTCTTTCTGTCTCAATTTTTTTCCTGCGAGGTGGAGAATTCTGGAGATCCTTGGATCAATTATGACAATTCTCAGTTCCTGAGCTATTTTGATTGTTTGTACTTGATAATGGCGACTATGTCAACTGTTGGCTATGGAGATGTTGTAGCTAAAACTTGCCTTGGTCGTGTTTCCATGATTTTCTTCATCATTGGCGGGTTGGTAAGAAATGCTTCTCTCCTTTCTGTGTCTGACCACTTCTCTGGAATGAAATGATTTGAGTGCCAGTACTCATATTCAGGGGTGAGCTGTGAACAATGATGGCCTGACTGGCTTTTATGACCAAACTAGATCTTAGAGGGTTGATCTTAGCAGGATACAGAAAGTATTTGGCTATAAGCCAATGCAGACATTTTTTTTTTTTTAGTAAATATTTACTACCACCATCAAAAATTCAATGAAGAAACCTCAGGCTTTGGAACAGACTCAGTGGGCGCATCTACACATGCATGAACATGCTTTAGTTAATGTGCATTAAATCTAGTACCTCTGTTGTGAAGTACTAGGAAAATGCGTATAAGCCTTCCTTAACGCGCATTAACTAAAGAACATGGTGTTTAAGGGCTCCTACACATGCATGGGGCCTGCTCCAATGCGCTGGAAATTCAGCGATTAATCGAGTCTGCTGGAATATGGAAATTGATGCGCTCCAGCAGCATGTCGCATGTATCAGCGTTGCCGCACAGCTCCGTACTGAAAAAATGACGGTAGGGCACTTTGAAATAAAACATATTCAATGAGCTTTAGTTCAAAGCACCTGCCACCATTTTTTCAGCACTGGGATGCGTGGTGATGCTGATGCATGTGACATGCCGGTACTTTCAATTAGCGCAACTCGCCAATTAAAAGCTCTTGGCGCTGCATCCCAACACACACAAAAATGCCTTAAATGACACTTGAATGCACATTAAAATCAGCTAATGTGTATTAAAGTGCACATGTAGACTTGGCCAGTTTTAACTAACCAGAACTGGGGAAAAAATGTTATCTGCCTACTACATTGTACTCCGTACCACTGGCTCTGACCATTTTAATAGGTTTTATCCTCACAACACTGAGGTCAGGAAAGCTTTTATCCCCTTTTTACAGATAGACAGTTGATACAAAGGAAAGATTTGCTCAAAGTCCCTGATGTAGCTTCAGAGAAGTTGGAACTGAATTAAATTACCCTCCCAATATATTCCCATAGGATGACTTTCCCTTCTTACAGGGATGCTTTCGCTTGGTTTTAAAGCTGTTAACATTGGCCAAGGTTGGAGCCTGGATACTGGTGTGGCTGGATCCCTGGGGCTAATGCATTGATTGCACTATCCGTATATCACACTGTTATACAACATGCATTTCACCACTTGGTACTGGTGGGGTTAGGAAGCAAATCTGAGGCTGCCATGGCTCCTAATGCTGAAATTTAGCATGGGTGGAAAAGGCAAAGGTGTCTGTAAGTATTTTGTATTTCATGACACTTTAGGTCCTGTTTGCAAATTTCATCCCTGAAATTGCGGATGTTGTTGGAAGCAACAAAAAATATGAAGGGTCCTACAAGGTGGTAAAAGGCAGAAAGTAAGTGTGACTGTTTTTATTGTCTTTGAAAAACAAAGATTAGATTAATAGACAGGAGCCACCTCTACATATGCACTTAACTCCAGATTAGACTAACTGCGGAGTTAAGCAACACTGTCTACACATGCAACACTATTCAGCGGCAGTAAACTAATTAACACAGCTGTAAGATAGTACTCCCCAACAGTACTGTCAGAGACATGACCGACTTACGGAAGGGTAATTAACTGCAATTAAACACACGTGTAGACGCCGACTGCAGGCATAAATTGTGCGTAGTCGGCCCACCCAGCAGGGAACCAGACTGCTGCCTGCTACCTATCCACATGGCTCTGCATTTTCAGCACTCTTGTGCTCCAGCCAGCCCCTCTGTCACCCAACGCTGCCAACTGGAGCCCTGGGCTGATCCCTTTCATGCTCCTGGCCCTGGTGTAAACTGCCGTGCCCCAGCTGAAATTGCTGCTGTCCTGGGTGCATGTATAGTTGCTATGCCTGGGAGTAATTTACTCCAGCTCAAAATGCTCCAGAGTTTATTGCTTTGAATTAATTGCACATGTAAATGCAGCCAGGGTGTAGGAAATGAGGAAACGAGGAGTGAAATAATCCTCAGAGAAGAGCTTGAACGAAATCCAAAAACTTTCTGTCTGTCAAACATGGTCCTTATCACCGGATCTACCTCTAGCAGTTAACAGCTAGATAAATTAGAGCTAAGTCAGATGAAACAAGAAAACCACTCTCAGATGAAACACACTTTTCTAACATATTCTTCATTGCTTTATCTATTTTCAATAGAACTGGTTGAAGTTTTTTGATCTTCTAGCCAGTGGATCTTGTTATACCTATGCGTGTTAGATTAAGTAGCCCTCTGATACCTGGTATCTTCTTTCTGCGATTAACTCTCCTCTCAAACTTCTTTTGTCCTAGTCTCTCCTAAATTATTCCTCCCCTCCCCCCCTTTCTTACATCTAAACCATTTAAATAGCACCCTTGGGACTTTTAGTTCAAGTGCCCCCACTGCCATTTCAAAGAGTGGGGACACTGATACAAGAGGCACAGGAGGCTGCTGGAGCGGGGAATTCACCAGGCTCCAACACACTTGATTAACTGAGTCTTCTCCAACGCGCTGTAATTACAGCGTGTTGGAGCAGCCTTCATGCTCATGTACAGGCACTCCTTTTGTTTGCAAAATAAATCTTTCCATGGGCAGGATCATGATATATGGAATCACAGTCACAGTTACAGACACAAATTGGTTCCAAACCTTTGCTGTACATAACTGGGACCGCAGCCTGCCTAGAAGTTTGTATAGTATTCAGAGACATCTAAAGACTGATTAATGTACTACAAGTGAATATATCGTTACACGAGGTGCCATGTTTGTAGCGAGCACTGTATAGGTTCCAAATATGACAGATGGCTCTCTGAATCTCTTTCTGCAGATATATTGTTGTCTGCGGTAATATCACTCTGGACAGCGTGACTGCTTTCCTGCGAGACTTCCTGCCCCAGGACACAGGAGATATTTGCACTGAGATACTCTTTCTGGGAGAGTAAGTATCTCTGTATCTCAAAGACATGTCATATACACTTCCCGATCATGCTAGAAGGTTTTATTTTGCCAGGTGGATTGTGCTAAGGGAAGTCGCACTTTATAACTAATTAATGGGAGATATGATAAAATAGGACTCAGCTGAGGCCTTCCCACCTGGGGAAGTTCTGTGATGAAATGTTTTCTGTTATTGTTGTCTAAAGGAAATAAAATGACTCTCCTTTTTGATTCATATTTTAGACTCGCTCTACCTGAGATTGCCTCACTTTGGCAGGACTCAGAGTAGGCTGTTGGGTAGCTGTTGGTATTCTCAGTTTTTCATGCATCTTTGTATTTGTACGCAAAAGTGTTTTCTATCAGTTGCTCATAACTCATTTAGTCATATTGGGGTTCGAAAAGGAAGGAGAATGGAACCATGCTGGTAGAGCCGAAGACATGTCAGGCATTTCAAACACATTATCCTCACAAATACCTTAGCCAAGCAGAAGATGGTCGTTGAACAGGTTTCTAAAAGAAGAACCTTCAGAGGTGGAAAACTAAGTGGGAAGATGATTTTATTTTGGCAAGAGGTGTTGGAGAGATCAGTGGTGAGCTGATGACGGAGACAACACTTTTAAGAAGTTACTGCATTGGAGAAGCTGTAGGAATGAGCCACAAAAATGATTCAAGGACTGCAAAATAATGCTTTAAATTGACAATTCAGTCTAAGTACCTTGTCAGATAGAAGATTAAGAATTGATTTGATTATAGTGCATAACTTACTCCATGGGGGCAATATACCAGGTAGTAAAGTCCTTTTTAATCTGGCAGAGAGAGGCATAACAAGAAGCAATGGCTGGAATTTAAAGCCAGGCGAATTCAAATGAAAAGGAAGGCACACATTGTTAACTTTGAGGAAGATTAATAATCCTACCAAGAAAACTAACAAGGGAAGTGGTAGATTCTCCATCTATTGCTGTCTTCAACTCATAGTTTAAAAAAAAAAAAAAAAAACTCCTATGGAAAATATTTTAGTCAAACATAATTTATTGTGCTCAGTAACGAATAACTTGACAATATTCTATGGTGTAGCACCTATGGAAGCTTCGAATGGATGTTTTAAAAGGTGTTTCTCACCTTAAAGTCTGTGAGTTTATGAGATGGGCAAAACACAGTTTCATTTGGAATACCAGTTTAAAAAAAAAAGTCTGTCCATGAAGTAAGAATATAGCAACTAGGTTTAAGAAGAGGAAGATAGGTGAAGTGTTGTGTGGCGTGAAGAGAAATGATTCCAACTTCTTGCAAAAGGTGGGATTAGTCCCTTGCTTTCTATTTCACATGCTTTAGCACAAGGGGGCTAGGGTTGGTCTGTGCTCATTTTAGTAGAAAGGCTCATTTAAAAATTCTCATTGTAATTACAAAAAGAAAGAGAGAAAATCCAGGGAACATTTCCATGGTGGTTAAGCTTTACAAAGGTTTGTTTTTATTGAAGTCTAAATGATGCACCTTCACTGACCTGTCAAAGTCCCATTAGGTTGATTTTTTTTTCTTTTAATGGCAAATGGTATTGTTGAAAGACTGTGAACATAAGTATTAGCACTTGAAGAGCTTTTCCCTTCTCTTCTGTATTTTCTTCAATGCATAGATCGCTTCCTAGCCTGGAGCTAGAAGCTGTATTCAATTGCTATTCACCCTACACCACTTTCTTCCATGGTTCTGCACTGAACGATGAAGATCTGAAGCGAGTTCAGGTAAGGACTCCCTTTTCTATCTGCCCTTTTCATTTCATGACCCATAGTTTTGTGTCTCCAGCTAGAAGCTCCTTCCAGCCAAATGTTTAGATTTGGCTTGCCTACATTTGCACTGAGCAGACTACTTCTCAAGTAACCCCATTTATTTCAGAGGAATACTTTGTAGAATTATATCCCTTTCAACGCGAATATGATTGTAGGAATCTGTTACTAAATGTCTGTCTGCCTAGTGGAATAAGAAGTGCAAAGATGGAAAGGGAAAAATAAACGCCACAACCAAATTGCGAGCTTTCTGCTTTTAAGAGGCATGAATAAAATTCCATGAAATGTAGCAGTTTTGGAAATTGGCTTTAAATTACTGGTTTTAAACCTCTGAGAATCTTGTTGATGGTTAGAAACAGCACTTAAAAAATCAGCAGTTTGAGTCATGTTTGTTTCTCATTCGGTTTGACTGGAAAATAGGAAGTGTATTTAGGAGGCACATTTTTTTTCTTAACATTGCAGCCTCTCGGTAAAATATCCTAATGAAGGAAGAGGGAAGGAATCTGGTTTATTAGTCATTAAAAGTATATGTAAATAACTAGACTGAATCCAGGGCCAGTCTTTTCTGGGTGTTGGCCTGTGTGAAATGCATTTGGTAGGCCTCCCTCCAGCTCCCGAAGGACAAATGAAATGAACCTGCGTTGGCAGTCTCACTGGCAAAGCCAAAAAGTGATCAGGTGATGGAAACTGAACTCTCCTAGCCTGCTGTAGTGTTTCAGTATTTTTGGCAATTCACTGTTGGGGGAGATTTCAGTGCTTCTGCTTGTTCTAAGAATAGCAGCTGTGAATGTATCACCTTTTACCATTTTGACAGTGCAAATCTGCATCCTGCTCTGTATGAGTTGCTTGAATGGAGCCTGTAGGCTCCTGAATCTTAAGGGATGATTCAGTCTTGTGTGCCAGTCCAAAGCAGTACAGTTAGGATGGTCCTAGGCTTGTTTTAAACCAAAGACACGTGCCATAAAATCAGCTTAGTACAGAGGACTGTTGTGCTTCATGTGGAATTAAACCCCAATTCTGCTTTTCTTTCCTGGGAAATAGATGGGATCTGCAAATGCATGTCTGATCCTTGCAGACATTTGTTCTTCAGAACCTTACACTGAAGACACTTCCAGTATTATGAGGTAGGCCCAAATCTCCCAATGTTTCCTTTCTTTGGCTGGCTAAAACTAACACCTGCAAGAAATGGGTTTGTCTTTCTCCTCGCTCTCTTTTTTTTTCCCTTTTCTTCCTGGCAGGAGAACACTAAGGCCACCTGACTGTTTTCCCATATTTAGATGCCAGGTGTTATGCAAGACAACGGAGGCAACTGGCAGCAGTTTGGTCTCTGCAATCACAAAGACTTGTGTTCTTGCTTTCTCACATGCATGCAGGATGTTGGAGCTCTCAAAGAGTCATACTCCTTTATCTGGAGCAAACCGTGGTATGCTTTGCAAGTGTACTACCGTGTGCAGTAATTGCATGAGCTCTCGCATGCTAAGCAAGGTTGGGCTGGGTCAGTATTTGAATGGGCAACTCCTGGGGTGCATGGGGGAGCTGTATGTGATGCTGGTGATTCAATAGGTAGGAGCTCTTCCTTTAGAAACAGTACAGTTTGTATGCAGATTCAATGACTCGGGAAATAAATCAAGAGGTATATATGTTTTTTCTCACAGGGTGCTCTCTATCAAGAATCACTATCCAAACACCAGAGTCATCATACAGATAATCCAGTCACATAACAAGGTAGCACAGTAATTCCTGTGGTTTGTCTGTATGTCTGTCAGTCATACTCAACGTCCAGAGTAAGGCCATGGCCTCAGTGATGTTAGTGTTAAAGCTTCCTTTGGCTTCAACAGGGCCAAGATTGAATCCTATTTATCTTGCTTCTTCAGTTACAGATCTAGAGTCTCCTTATAACTAAACAATAAATGATCAAAATGGATTTTTCTCGTATTTCCTATTGCTTGCTGTCAAATATTGATCGAAATAAAGATTCAGTTTTTTGTGCTGCTAAACTGCACATAGTAAACCATACTCTTAGAGAAACATAAAGCCATTCTTTTCCCAAACCTATTTTTCATTGAAAACTGAAGACTGAAGAGAGTTTTATTTTTCAGGGTCATGGTAAGCCTGCCTAACTTTATTTACCCTTGTTCTTGCTTTCTTATCTGGAGACAGGCATACCTACCGAACATCCCCAACTGGGACTGGAGAATAGGGGACAGCATCATCTGTTTTGCAGAACTAAAACTTGGATTTATAGCACAAAGTTGCTTGGTTCCAGGCCTGTCCACCCTCCTAACCAGTCTGTTTGTGAGGACAGAGAGTGCTAAGGTAAATGCTTTGCTTGTCCAAGTAGTGCAAATGCAGCCTTGGGGAATTTTATCTATATGCATGCATCTGAAATGCTTGTTTGAGTCAAAACTCTGCATGGGTATTTTCAGTCTTGCCTTGTCCATACTGTGTCTTAGAGTGGCAGAGCAGATGTGGTAACCCAAGGGACTATTTTTATCAAAGAGTTTACTCAGTACTAGGGCAAACAAGGTTCTTTGGGTAAAGGTAATATCTTTTATTAAACCAACTAAATAGTTGGAAAAATTGTTCTTTGCAAGCTTTCGGGCACAAACACCTGTCTGCTGTATTAGGGAGTGCTTGTAGACGTGTGGGGACACGCTGCTCCAATGCACTGTAATTATGGCACCATTGGAGCAGACTTGATGAATCAAGTCTGCTGGAGCATGTTAGTTAGCGCATTCCCGCAGCCTCTGCACCTTGTATATTCAGTGTCCCTGTGCTTCAAAAGTGGCAGCCCAGGTGCTTTTAACTAAAGCTTGTCCAGCAAGCTTTAGTTAAAGCACCACTGCCACCATTTTGAAGTGCAGGACACTGAATATGCAAGACTTCATGGGCATCTTTGGATTTGAACTGATGTCAATGAGCTGAGGCATGAGCGAACTTTTCTTTCTTTGTTTCCTGTGAGGTTAATAACCTGCTTTGCACACTGTAGGATCCTCTTGTACTTATTTATTTTCTGCCTGTTTTATTCTTTCAAATCCCCTTTTGGAGAGGGACATTGCAAGGCCTCTAAACTGCTTAGGCCTTTAAATTAGAATTTAATTGAGACTTACCTGAGTCTTGGAACTTGTGATGTCTCTCTGCAAAGGGGTCAGTCTGAATTTAGCCTCCTTCCATCTCCTATTCCTGATCTGTCCCTATTAAAGAATGAAGTTGATAAGCAACATATTAACTTTTCAATACAAAAAAATGGCTCTGCAGTTCTCGCAGCCAATGTCACAAGATGTAATAAAAAGATAAAAATAAAAAAAAAAAAAGCTGGTAGGCATTAAGTTGTCTGAGTAAGCCACATGTTTCCTAGTGCTTGAGTATGCTTTTACTATCACCTAGTGGCCAGCTGAGTTGCCTTCCCCAAGTAGACTCTGCAGGAATTTAATTTCCCGGCGTTGTCAATTAAAATAGACCATTATGCTGTCCCTTCTGACTTCTGGGATTTTTCATTCATAGGATGTATTTAAGCAAAACTAAATGAATGGACTGTGAAATAAATACAGAGTTTATCTATACACCGGAGGGGTCATTTTCTAGACCCAGTCAGAACTTGGAGTAGCAGGGCTTGCTGGTCACCGCTGACCAGAACTGGGGGAAAAGAGGATACCAAATTAAAAAAAAAAAAACAACAACCCTGACTTTTTACTAAAAAATCAGGCTTTTCAACACCATTCTGTTTCTCCTGAGTCTTGGACAGCTTTAGAGCCTTTCCCTTGGGTGCAAAATGAAAACAAATTTCCAGATCCTGCAAGTTGTCATGCAACGAGTTGTCCTTCTCGGGTTAGCTTTAGTTGTTCTGCTATAACAGAATAATGTCACTAAATAGAGTTATAGGTGTGCAGTTTTCCCACAGTGGACATGGCTACCCTGGAATCAAACCTCTTGTAACAGGATAGATATTCTTTTAAGGGAGGCAGACAAAATAGACCTTGCTTAAGCATTTACTTCTATGCAAAATGACTGCAAGGTGGGTATAAAAATTCTATCTACCTACTTTGCAGAGCTGGGTGGATCAAGTTGCATAACAATGGTAAGCCCAGTATTTGAGAAGATGTTCTCTAGAGCAGAGAACTATTTTCACATGTTTTCCTACCCATCCTCTTGACTGCAGGATAGGATTTTAGTTATGGCAATTTATATATGATTATAATAATTATGTACAATTAATAACAATATACTTTTAAGAAGAAAGCAGCCCTAAATAAGGCAGATAGCTAGGAAAATTGTATTGCAAAGTAAAAGACAGTTTTGCTTTCAAGTAATGAGACGCTGAGGCTTTGTATTTTATCAATACATGACTGTCGTCTTTGTTGGTTATGATGAGAAACTATATTCTCTTTAATGATTACATAAGTGTGAAGCATTCAAGTGAGGTATGGATTAACCTGGCTCATTATTTATATATGGTGTGTTTTTCTTGCTACAGCAGCTAACTGGGGTCCTTCCATCTCTGGTAACTGCAAAGGTGGTTGTATCAGTGCCATGTGGCCAGCCCAGACTTGTTACACGGCGTCATCTGGTACATTTGCTTTCATAACAATGTATTCTCTCCACGGTCATTTATTTTAGGTAAAGAGAAAAAGCATGCGGCACAGAAATGTTTTGAAAGGCAGTGCCTATCAAGTGATGACTTACAAGCTCTCCAATGATTTTGTAGGCATGTCTTTTCCAGAGGTTTGCCGGTAGGTAGAGCAGACTTGATTATTCTTCCCCACCCCCATATGCCTCTCAGTCTGCTTTTTACAGTGAGGACATGTCCAGGTATCTCTTTGTGACTGTAAATCTGGCCTGTTCCTTTCCTTAGGTTGTGCTTTGTGAAGCTGAACCTTGTGCTGTTTGCTGTTGAGTTCAGGTTTGGCGTTCATGGGAACAGGTGACTAGTGTTACTGGTGGGACAGTTTTTTTAACAAGAACTCATCCACGTAGTGGCTGTGCCCCAGGACTTTGAAGTACACTTGCCCCTGAGCAAAGGGCTGATGCAAGTCTTATGCACCACTTACTTCCCACTTTTGCCATAGGTACCAGGCTGAAGTGAGACATAGGCCTGGGGCAGTGCGGTGGAAAGGAGCAAATTTCACCCAATATAATTAGTTTCTTCCCCTTCCTGTTCCCGTAAAGATGACCAGCCAGAAAGGCAGATGTACCTTGGTATTTACTGTCTTTATTGATGTGACTGCCCTTCCCTAGAGAGCTTTTTAAGCTGTTTCTGCATGTGCAAATCCCTTCTCCATCACCCAGGAGAAGCAGACACTGAAGCAAAGGGCGCATTTAACTTGCAGCTGATTTCAGGGCAGCTGAAAGTAGTCAGCTCTGGGGCTGGCCACAAATCAAGCCTTCCATTTAATGAAAAATGTCAAGGCTTGGGAATTGGTTTCATTTTACATTGGAATAATAGTGAGGATTTTTCCCCCCAGGGAGAGAGAGAAACCCAGACCAGAGCACCCAAGCATCCCATGGTTAGGGCTGTACTCTGTGGGATATGGGGAACCCAGCACAAGCCTCTGTTTTGCCTAATTTTGGAGCAGGGATTAAAACTTCAGACTTTCCCTACTTAGGTGTGTGCCGTGATCGCTGTGCTGTACATGCAGCAGCTTCACATCTCAACATTGCTTCCCAGACCTGAAAAATATTTCTAAACAAAACTGGCATTTACCAACAGAAAACATATATTGTTTAAAAAAAAAAAAACAAAAAAAAAAACCCTCCCAACCACAAGCTCCTCACAACACTCTTTGGACTCAGGCTTCAAACAACTCATAGTTTTCCCCAGATTGAGAGAGTCTGCAAAACCCTTTGTATCAAAACATGATTTTTGATGCATAGCACACCTAAACAGCAATGTCTGACTTAATGGCCTGTTCTGTGCCAGTATGAGACCGTTATGCCACATAATGTGGTACCAACAATCACTGAGAGAGTCGGTGATATGAAAGCAGAAAGTTGTGGGGGGCCTTATTTCACTGTCTTAGCTGCAGTCTCACAAGCAAATTCCATATAGTTCCCCTTGATTTGGAGAAATCAAGCTCATTCTGCAACTATTTATGTCCATTCCTAATGGAAATACTTCCTTGGATTTTAACCATAGGAGGTACTAAGGTTCCTAAACTCTGTAAAACATTGTCATAAAAGTGTGATCTATCAATGCCAACAACAGAACTTGCTACGTTCTGAAGCTGATTTGGTCCAGAGCCAGATAACACTCTCTCTGTTCCAGTGATGAAATACAAGACCCCTTAATGGGAAAGCTGGAACCAGTTCATAAACAGGGAATGAGCAAGCAGTGTACAACGTGGAAAACCTTGCAAAATTATCCTGAGAGTGGCAGGTTATTGCATACAATGCGTATAAATGTTTGCTTCTATAAATGAAGTAGCCCCTTTGGGAAGAATCCTCAGAATATGGAATAGAAACAGAGAAAAACAGAATAATGGGTGGTAGGACAGTGAAAATGGCTTGGGATATTTGGGTTATGGTGTCCAGAGACCCTGAGCATTCATCAGGCTGAATGAAATCAAGGCATGCTAACCAATGAAAATCAGACCCTGGATGAATCTCTTGTTGCGGATATTTTGCAAGAGGGGGTTAGAACAAGGGGAATGAGGAAAATGATGACGATGGAAAATAAGTAGAAGCTCCTCGGGGCAGAAGCAATCTTTTTGTTCTGCATGTGTGCTGTCCTTCACGCACAAGGTTCTTGTTCAATGACTCGGGCTTCTAAATGCTACCCCAATGCTAATGCTACTTCTACTACTATTACTCCTACTAATGCAGTTAATAGGTGAGTGTCACTTATTTCTCCATTAGCAAATGTGTGACTAAACAGAAAGGAGCAGAAGGGAGGTCTCTTCTTTCTTTTGTAGGAGGAATAGGAAGTGGTTAATATTTTTTACTACAGTTGCCTGCTCCAATTGCACTGCCAACATCCATTAAAACTGGGCTGAAATCACTAGGATATTCAGATACAACTGGTACATCTAGCAGTAGAGCAGGACTACCCAGGTGTACCTGACAAATTTAGTAACACTGCAGTGGGATTCAACCTAGTTGTACTTTAATAGGAAGAGCAACACAGCAGGTATATTCTCAGCGAAAGTACCTGGGATGTTCATTAGAAAAACAGGTGTCTTTTCCCTAGATATAACAGGCCTGTTCAATACCACAGCAGGCGCACCGAGCCTGCACATTCCTAATACATTTAGCAGCACAGCAGGTATGCTTTAACGGGGAATATTTGGCATCTTCAGCAAAACGTTGGGTGCACCTGGTTTTATCTGGAATATTCAGCAGCTGAAGACAGACAACGAATTAATCCCTTAAAATAAGCATTTTAAATAGTTTTGTAGTATGAAAAAAAGCCTGTGTTCTATCAACTTTAGAGTCATAAACAGTCATAAAAAACTGGAAGATTGCTAACATCATAAAATACGCTGGTCTTGTGAACTGGGACCTAGGAGATCAGGGTTTGTGTTTCTACCCCTGTTGGAGCCTTCCCAAGTCAGTCCCCTGTGCCTTAGTCCTTTATGTATAAAAGAGGACTAATAACATTTACCTGCCTCACAGATGTGTTGTGAACTTCAGATACTACTCTAACAGGGCCTGGGAGGCAAGAAGGGGCTGTTGTGATCATTTAAGCTGACCTCACAGGTAACAAAGGTCAAACAACTTCCACTAAATGGACAATAATGTGATTTTTCTGTTTGTTACTGTTTCCCAGTATCCTAATCAACCCGTCTGCAAAGATAATCCTCCATCGAAATGTAATGGGCTTTTTTATTGCCAAATCCATGGCAGAAGTCAAAAGGTAAACTTTCAAATCAAGTTCTGGACAAGCAAACTTTTGGCGAGCAAACAAATGCATTTGGAACATTTCCTTCCCTCTGCTAATTTTACTCCAATTTCTCCCTCTATTCTGTTATTATCCAGGGCACATTTTTACTGTAAAGCCTGCCATAGTGATATTGATAATCCAAAGCTGATTGAAAAATGTCACTGTAGAAGCAAACTTCGGAAGAGAAGCATTGGAGGTAATCGTCCTTTAAATTTAAGCATCAGTTATAATGAGAGGGTGGCTTAGAAATCTGGCCATCAGGTATGATGTACCTACTTGCAACAGCTCGGGTATGACTTGCCTACCTGCCCACTGCTCCCCTGGCTGCCATGGAAATATGGGCTTGAACGCAGTCTTTTATCCTTATGAAATAAAATACTGAGTTCCACGCAGTTGACTGTGTGGGGATCTTTCAGATGACACTTCAGAAAACCTTGCAATCCTTTCTACTTTGACTGACTATTACAGGCTTCTATAGCTTATATTGATAGGAGTCAAATTGCAAAAAAGAAAAAAAAAAAGTATTCCCCTCTGCTGCCTCTGATTTAGCACAAACTCGATGCCGTTTAGTCCCAAAGCTGAACTCTAAGGTACTTCCATCCCATTGGTGCTGCATGCATACAGTTTGTGAACTGCTTGGTATTCAAGGCTCTCTGGGGCCAGAGTTCATAGTTTCATATAGTTTCAAAGTTGTTAGGGGCTGGAAGGGACCATACAGATGATTGGGTCCAGCCCCCCTGCACTTGGGCAGGAAAGACCGCTGGGATCAGATGACCCAGCAAGATGGGCAGCAAGGCGCTTTTTGAAGATCGCCAGGGTGGATGTGTACACCACCTCTGGGGGGAGCCTGTTCCAGAGGCAGTACAAAAGTGGTCCTCAGTTTGTAACTGGTAACTACTCAGACAAAACTTTCATTAAAAACAGCAGGAGCAAAGCCTGAGTAAAAGAAGCCAAATACACTGAGGGAAGGCTGTCAGGATATGGCCTATATAATAATATCATCATAAGGATACGAACTAATAAACACGAGGTCAGCAAAGACAGACTTGAGTTTGTGCCAGGATATATTACAAGTGGTAAGCACTTTGTTAAAAATGTAGAAAGTTTTGATTAAATAGGGGGAAAATGCCTAATCATAGTAACATCAACCCAAGAGTAGAATGGCTTATTCCTTCCTCACCCCAGATTTCATTTCCTATGGCTCTTGGGTCTGAAAAAGGGCTAGATGGCCTGGCAGATCTAAATTAAGAGCTGAAATCTAACCCAGACCACAGAGAGCACCTCTGTGGTCATCCCTCATTAACACCCTTCTAGATTCACAGCATTTAAGGCTATAGGAGGTGCCGTTTTATCATTAAGCCTGATGGCCTGTATGTAACTGGCTACTAAAAACCATGCAGCTTCTTTTGCTGACCTGAATAACCTGTGCATGGCTGAAGCAGAACTTGTCATGGCAGCATGAAGTAGGAGATCAGGGAGACAGAAATGCCTTTTTTCCCCTCAAAAAGTGGTTTCCTTTGAGCAATGCTGAAATCTGCTGATCAGGCAGCACACCCTGCATCGGAACAGATAGATGGAAATGTTCAAAGTCTCCTCCTAGGAGATTTGGGCCAAGCCAGTCATTAGATATAGCAAAAGATGTATTTCTAAACCTCCTCATCTGTTTTTACCTTGTCTACCACTGTACTTCTGACATATGGTGCTTTGTGCAACACACACACACACGCGCACACACACACACACAGAGCGCGTATGTGTACATTATATAACATTTCCTTTCAACAGTAGATGGCAGCCAAGCCCCATTATTAAATATCTGACTGAAGCACACAGGGCTCAGAGAAAGGCTAAACCCATTCATAGAGAGTTGCACTGTCAGGCCAAGTGAACAAACACATATGCACTGACACCTGGAGGACTCCATATAGTAATATCATTTATAACAAGAAACTATTGCCTCTTTTCAGTCCTGTGTACAGATCAACATAGAAGCCACTCAGGCTCCCCAAAGCCAGCTACCTCCCAGAACAGAGGATCCCATAAATTGCACAGATATCTTTAAGAGTTAGCAGCCAACAGATGGCGAGACATTGATACCACAGGAGCTCTACACCTGATTGTTTTTCTTTCTCTTTAGCGTATGATCTTAGATGATCGGATTTTAAAAGGACAAGACAGGCTTATAATATAAATGTATAGTCATAAAAGGCAATTGTTTGCAAAGCTACGGCTCCATGCCAGTTATACTGCAGAGAGAACAGTTACCTTAGGCAGATGAGAAGTGTTGCCAGACATGAAACCTTGCCATCAGTTTCCCTGTAGGATTTTGGATGTATTGGAGCAAAACACTGGATAATTATAAGTGCTTTGGTTCATGCCAGAAAAGGGAATGTCACTTAAACAGTATGTGTCACCCTGGCCTGGATGCCTCCAGTACCACTATGAGCCAAAATGAATCAAGGAGTGGTGGGTGAGATCCCCAACTAGTGTTAAGTCAGTGTGTCTCCATTGTCTTCCATTAAACCAGGCTGATTTTAAGATGGGTAAGAAGCGGGTTTATTGTCACGAGTCTAAAAACTGTTTCAGGACTCGAAGAGATTTGGACTGCAGTAAAAGGAGCCAAGAGGCTTTGCCTTCTACGTGCTATAAAGTGCCATCGTTTAACTGGAGTATGTATGGCAGCAAAATAGAAAGACGTTCTGTTAAAGTAAAAGATGAGAGCTATTCCTGCTTTCCCTTCAGGATAACAGAACCTGGCCAAAAATGTTGTCTCTTGCCATCTAATGTTGCCATGATTTTCAGACATCCTGAAAGAAATCAGACTGAAGCCACTCGGGATGGGTATCTTATATTCAGGGAACAAGTATAGGGCCGAGAGCTTTGCCCATGCTTCGCCTCACCCAAATGCTTTGGCTCTGACCCAGAGTAACTATCTTTAGTGGTCAGAGGGGAATTCAGCCTCCCAAGTTTTTTCCCATCTTGGCCACTTTGCTGGGAGTGTCAACAAGAGAAGCAATCACTGCCAGCAGAAAAAAACAAAAGATGGATGAAAGGAGAAAAATGTTACTGAGAATAAGGGCAGGGGTGAGATGTCCCAAGGTTTGAAGGGTTCAGCTTGATCATAGCATTTGCTCCAGGCCTCATTCAGGTGGTGTCCTTCACCTGGATGCAAAAACCCCTGACTAGGAGTTTGCAGGTGCTTTAATCCCCCTCTAGCTGACCCAGCTTGCAGTGCATGTTCAAGGTTTGAGGCTGTGTTACTTGGGCCGGTAATCCACCCACTTTGCTATGAGGAATGTGGGCCATATTAATGAAGTGATGATCATCCATCTTTGACTTCCTGCAATTCCTCCCATGTGCCCAGATGCCCAAATAAATACTCCCACCACTCAGTGGGAAAGACTCGCCTATTAACTCGGCTGACTGCACGTGACATTTCCTCCGAAAGTCCTAGTGACACATGGTGAGGGCAGGGCCAGCAAAGCCAGTCACCCAGGTAGGACTCTGCAGTATAGATACTCATGCCTGGGCTAGTCTAAAGTTGGTGCTGACCTCTTGAGTTAACTCTGCAGTAAAAATGTACCCAAAGTCAGTGGGACTTGGCCTGTAAGTGGAACAGGGCTGGATTTGATGTGTAGTTGCTTATAGATGCAATAAGGGCTAGTGGGATTTTCAAAACCTCTTCATTTTCAATAGCACCACATAGCTATCTGCACTTTTAGGCACCTAAATGTTTTTAAAGTCTGCCCTTTTGGTGTTTTTGGAAATCCCAACCCAGATGCTCAGCAGGCAAAGATGAACATTAATGCTGTTGAAGTTTCATAGTTTCTAGGAAACTAGAATGGACTAAGTTAATGGAGGGCTGACGCTTTTGGAAGACCCTCTGGCCTCCTTTGCTTGAGGTGAGGCAGAAAGTTTGCAGCAGATCCAGATCTCCTGAGTTAATATTAAGTGCCCTCACCATAAGACAATCATTCCTCAAGCTCACAATGGGATCTCAGAAGCTTAGTTGTCTCAACTCGGGGGGATGTTTTTAGATTTACCCTCCATTGCTTAGCTTACAAAACCATTACTAAACTTGACCTCTCAAAGAGATTGACAGCAACGTGTCGTGTCTTTGGATCATTTTCCATCCTGTACTGCGACCACCACCTTAAAATGGGATTGCAAAGGGAGCTATCTTGTTACCAGGAGTAAATGCACCTGCATTTAGCATACCTGTGTGGGTGCAATTACTGTTTGTTAAAGTCAACAAATCGCCTATTCAAAAAGATGTCTCTTCTGTGCCAGGAAACTGTGTAGGCTCATTAGATGTTTCATCTGGATGAGCATAGTTTGGAAATGGTTACAAAATGAGAAGGAAACAAAAAGCATGTGAAAGGGTTCAGCTGTCAGTCTGTGCGATGAAGAGATACGTGGGGCTGAATGCCTCTCCAGTCCAAGTTCCCCCACATGCACATTGGACCTGTTTGGGCACATGTGACATGGAGATCTTTGCTCCTTCTCCTGTCAGACTCTTGACGGGGGTAGGGATGAGATTAAGAAGGCAGGAGACAAGGCAGACACAGGGCTGAGGAGTTTGAGAAGCTGTGAGCCACATAATGACGTCTGTACACAGGCCTTGTGTAATTAGATACAGATGGATACCAACAACTTTAGAAAAACCCACTGGGTGCCTCTGCATCTTTAAAGGTCTACATTTTCTTTAAAGCTGGTCCTCTTTAACTTAGGAGCAGGAAGGACTTCTGGAGTTCACCTTGGGAATTAACCCTTTTAGATGCATGGTGAATTCCAGGTACCACTTGTCCAGCAAAGAAAAGCACTTAAAGCACAGCAGAGGTCTCATGTAATTCGGTGGTAGCTGGCTTGGAGTCTGGCTTAGTGTGGGATACCTGGGAGGTGAGGTCATCTGTTTTGTGGGACAAATTGGCAATTTTTATTGGGTTTTACTTTGAGCATTTGGGGTCATTTGAACCTCTTAAAAAACCTACAGAAATGTTTATGTTAATCCCCTTTCAGAATCAGTCCATGGTTGGTCTAACTGCATAATATTAGCTCTGCATGATGCTGTCAGGTTCCTACTAGGCCTAAGGTACCCACATTATAAAGCTGCACTGCCTTGCTGTGTTTGGCTCAGCAATTACTCCAGGCCCCTTTGTCAGGCATTTTTTTAAGCCCCCACAAAAACCTTTTTGGCACTTGCAACCAGAATATAAATATATTTGAGGTATATACAAAAGGTAGCAAATTCCTTTTCATTGCCTTTGTTTCAGAAAAGCTGAAAGCCCGCCGAGAAACTCTGTGCGTTCCAGACCAGGACCCAGTAAAGTCAAGGTCTCTTGGGGTTCTTCCTCCTTCGAGTTATGCTGCCAGGTAAGAAGTGTGTGTGTGTGTGTGTGTGTGTGTGTGTGTGTGTGTACGGACGCACGCACACACATGCATTTTAGGGATGTCCTGGTCTTGCTGCACTGAGAATTTGGGAGATGCAGAAGGCAGGGTAAGTCTGTCTCCTTTTGAAACAGGTTCAGAGGGCTTTTACTTCTAAGTCCCATGCCATTGTCACTGGTTTTGTTTGCAGTGCATAGTTTGTCCTGATTAAGTGAAGAGCCTTACAAAGCAATCTCCATCTTATACATATAGCTCCTCTGCCCTTCAACCCACACCCACTGTACAGGTTTAATCCCTTAAAATGCAGAGAGCGCCTCTAAGATGCTGAGTGTTCAAATGCCTTCCAACTTCATTGGGAATGGATGGTGCTCAGCTTCTCGCAGAGCTGTTGAGCACTTTGCAAACATGAGACCCAAATGTCCAGGCGTAAGTACAGACTTCGCAGCATGCCTAGAAAATGAGCAAACCTGGACTTCAGCAAAATATGGAGGAGGCACCATCTAAAGTTGAATAATTTTTCCCGAAGAGCTCACCCCCTGACCTCATGACCAAAGCCCTTCCTGTTAAACCCACAGTAGCCTCAACCTGAGTCACTCTGCTGATTGCAGCAGTGGTGGTAACACAAAGGGAAATCTGCCCAGATCCTCCCATTGTTCTTGCTGGATTAGCTGGTCATCAATCGAGTTGAATCCTGGGCTCTGCAGCATAGACCTGATCTACCTATTGCATTAGCTACAATAATTGCACCTGTAGAGATGACTGGTGATACCTATACTCATAGAAATAGTCCATAACTTACCAGGCACTTCTGCTGACCTTCACTGGGATGACTCATGGTGCAAGGTACCATGCAGCACAAGTAAGGGCACCATAATATGACAAATCTGTTACTGGCAGCAGTAGTAGGCTATTATATTGTGGAGAGCTACCCAATGAAGACCCTTCCAGTATGCATTGGCAACCTTGTCACACAAGAACTTTTGGGAAATGAGACAAAATCCTTACAGGGTAAGGACACTAGGAGAATTTGCAAACTTCTTCCTTCAAGGGTTGGATGGCAGTGTCTGTGAGGAGCTTGCAGACTTGGGAGATCTAAAAGAAACAAGCCCTAATTTAATAAATAAATGAATAAATAAAAGTTCCCCGCCCCCCCGCATCAACCTGTCCAATTTTGTGCATCAGCAGCAAAGGCAAATGTTGGCACAGCAAGAACTCTAGGGTCCCCTCTGGGTAGCTCTGCAACTCAGCAGCTGTCCCCAGCACTTACACGGTATCAGGACAATAAAATGTTGTTCATTGCATCTGCCCTACAACCAATTAGGTCAGCTGTAAATATTGGAACTGCATGGTAAACATATACACACGCGCGGGTAGATTGTGCTGACTTGTTAAATATAAGTGAAAACATAATTAGATTTATAACACATCCTTTCCCCCTCCTCCTCCCCCCCCCCAAACCCTATAACATAATTTACCAAAAAAAAAAGAGAAGGAAAAAACCTTCACAGCCTGCTGAAATATCATTATTAAAATGCGCATGAAAAGTCAATTATGCCAGAGGGAGGTATTTAAGAGAAGTGAGTTTCTATACTCTGGGATTACACCTTGGGGATTATATATTTCTTTTTATTTTTTTTTCCCTGAGATCTTTGCTGCTGCGTAACAAAAGGAAAAGAAATTTTACTAGGAGATGTTCTGTAATCCCCTGAAGACATGGCCAAATACTCGCATAAATATTTCCTTTCCCCGTCAAGTTTCTACCTCACCATCATATCAAAAGGAAGGAAACTATGTTCCATCCAGCCAGGTCAGGATTGTTTCCTACAGTACATTTTCTGGTATTTAGTTTTAAATGTCACCAGAGATTGGGCTTACATTGCTTCCCATGGGAGGACATTTTACACTGTTATTATTAGTAGTAGCAGTATTTATTATTTGTATGATAGCAGTGCCCAGAGGCTTCTACTGCTATACAGCCATGTTAGGCTCGGTGCTGCCTGTACACATAGTAAAAGGCAAGTCCTGGCTCAGAGGGCTTACAAAGGGTGGGAAGGTCAGAGAAGTGAAATGAAGTATCCGAGGTCACCTAGCAAAGCGGCACTCGTCCAAACGACAGATTTGCAACAACTATAGAGGTTTCAAAAACCCGTTTGTGTTCTTCGCTGAAATCAAACCCAAGCCATATTTTGTGTAAATGGACTTAAATCAAAATGGCCACTTTCAATCAAAACCTGATCTTTTCCATGCAGGGCTTATGGGGTGGAGGAGGAACTCCTACATGCTGTAGGATACTGGCTTGATAGATACTCAAGTTGAAGTACCAGTTTTGTCTGCTGTGGGATGACAAACTGCTCTGAATCAGGCAGGGCAGGGCTTCTCCTACATCTCAGAGCAGAAGACAGACTGTACACATGCATGTACTCTCTCTCTTTCCTGGTGGTAGCTTCTGGTTTCCAGTGGCTTTGGTGGGGAATTGGATGCCTAGAAAAATTGTTAAAGCTTTAACCAATATAGTTACAAATTACTCACACCTCTAGTATAAAAGAACCCTTATAGGTCAACAAAGCCCCTGTTTTTAGGAAATGTTCAAGGACATGGGGGATTTGAAGGAACATAGTGTGAAGCTCTCCATCCAAACATATGTGCAGAGATACCTTTCTGATCAGCACCTTTGAAGAAGAAATGAGATGCAAAAAGAGATAGTGAAGGTGGAGCGGGCACCACAACAAGCCAGTAAGAAACAAAAAGAAAAACCCAAACACCTAGCATTTTCAAAGGACAAATGATTTTTCAGAACTCGAAAATACCAAAGAATATTGACATTTCCATAAAATGTTTTCATTCGTCAAAGAATTTGGCCAGTTATATATTTAGTTGAAAAAAATCCTGTTTTGTCCCCCCCCCCCCCCCCCAAA